ATAAATATTAACAAACACAAAAGTAATAGTCTAACAGTATATATAGGAAGGAAGCTGGTTCGTTGTGTCCCTGTCGCGCAGCGAATAGCGCGTTGGACTTTCAATCCAAAGGTCGAATCACACCTAGGATGGACTAATTTCTGAGAATGTGGTTTTTCTTACTACACTATTTTGTTAGAATAATTAAATTTAATGAATGAATAAAAGTAACAAAAAAATAGAGTCTAACACCATATACAGAAAGGAAAATGGAGAATTGCAAGGAATATAGCTTTCTATTTTGTCACTTAATATTGTGATTCTGTCGTATGTAAATTAATTGTAACTATACATATATATATTTAATAAAAAGTAACAAAAATAAAAATGTTCTTTTTTGACCTAAGTAGGAATTGACAAAAAAATTTGTTTTTATATTACTTGTTTAGCTATATTTGCTTATTTTTAGCGTACGAAATAACATTTCCGTGACTTAAAGATTCTAACTGGGAATCAAAATCTTTTTTTTTTCTTTAGAATAAATGTATATTAATAGCAAACAAATAAATAAATAATACTTTTCTTAAATTAATGGATGAAAAAAGAATAAAGTCTTAGAATTCAATGCAAAAATAAACTTATCTTACTATTAGTGTGGGCAAAAAGGAAAATGTATTGTGTAATTATTCTTAGACTTTAACCAATAAATTGTATTTCAAATACAAATTTTTATATTTTATCAAAAGCCTGATCTACACCATTGTTACTCCAAATGCCTAGTATCTTGAAGAGTTATTTTTACTGTAAGAAATCGAATTTGGAGAATACGACAGTTGAAAGTTCTCATCTAAATGATAAAAGTTGAAAAAAGACTAGAAAAAATGAAAATTTCCAGTTTTAAAGTAATAGAAGATTTTCTGAGTTTTACGTTACAGCAAGACTACCTTAGTATTACTCATACTTCTCTTAGACAATAAAGTTATCTATTTTTACAGTACGGACTTGCCTAAAATAACAGATTTTGAAGAACTGGGGCTTTACTTTTTTTTCGGTTTCTGCCATCATTTTTGAGTCTTTTTAAGGCTATTGAAAGGAAAGTCTTATTTTTAAACTATTGATTGAAACTTCTGGATATTCAATATAAAGAGCAATTTTCTTTCTATTGCACGATTTTTATATATGCCATTTTTGCTTTGCTTACTTGAGTATCTTTTTTTGAAAGGAGAAAAATTGTTATTCGAAATATAAAAAGTATCGTTATCCTGCCTTGTTTGAGTAGAAATACGATTCTTTTTATAATACAAACTTTAATAATATGCGAGTATCGAATTGCGTTCTTGGGGAATTTTGTTAACTTTAAAGTTTACCAAAAATTTCTATGTATGTTAATATATCAGTTGTATTTACTGAATGGAATGCAGAAGGTCGTTCGCATTTTATAGAAATGATTTTGTAGTTCATTTTCTCGTTTGTATTTTGAGATAAAACTTTGGCAAATTTAGGAAAATTGTCTGTTAAGTTTTTCTTCTGATTGGAATGCAAGTAAAATATTTATTTTAAAAGTGGCCCCTAAAGATTATATATGGCTCAAAGGCTACTTAATTACGCTTTCCAAAGAGAAATATTAGTATCAACAAATTAAAAAACGTTGTAAAAATCTCGAATATTACATTTAAATAAAAGGTATTTGTAACATATCAAAATTGGAAATAGAAAAAACATCTCTTTGAAAGTAAAAATTAAAACATGACCACGAAACTTCATTCTCAGACTGTTCAAACTCAGATAACTATCAAGAAAGGGAAGTCTCTGATCCTAAAAGGAAATCCACTGACTCAAATTCATTGCATCGAAACTAGAAATGTCTTCCGGAACCGTAATTAAAATCATTAATAAGGATTCAAAGTTAAAACAAATGTTTAAAACTAAAGTAAGTCTCCTTTTTTTGATCATATTGCTGAAAGAAAAACAAATAGTAGAAAATTATGTAAAAAACACCTAGCTGCTGAAAAATGGAAAATTATGGTAACAAATGATTAAGTATCATCAGAGTGCAGAAAAGTTTCTAAAGGGTTTCATGATAGTTGCAGGATTTTATTACAACGGAAACTTTAAAATCAAAAGAGTCCCAAGTAAAGCCAAACTTAATTCACTCTACTAACAGCAGAATATTTTAAAACCGATTTTTAAAGAAGAAATTCTAACTTTATATGGAAAGAACTTTGATAAATTTTAGCTTCATATGGACAAAGTCTATAGCCACATGTCTAAGTCAGCTACCACTTATTTAGCAAAGAAAGAATCAGAATATCTCATTAATAAAGTGTATCTCATTTGATGAAATACTTGTAAAATCACCTTACCCTTCTGCAACGGATATCTGTGTTTTTGGTTTATTAAAACGAAACTTAAGAAAATGGCATCCAAGAATACTGAATGGACTGGTTCAAGAGGAATGGAGTAAAATTTGCATGACAGTACTAAGAAAAATTTTATTTTCACGAAAATTTCGAGCTAAAACTATTATCAAGAAACATGGCTACCAGACAGAAACAAATTTTAACAAAAAATACGGGTATTTATTGATAAAAACTATCAAAATCGTTTCCATAAAGTGTGAGAGACTTTCTGTTTTTGTGAATAATTTTATTAGTAGCACCTTATAATTTTATGGTAGTAACTTGTATTCGCGAATTTTTGGAAAGCAGCAATTTTTCTTATAAGTGTTTATATATTGAAAATACTTAAGCAGAAAATGTCTATTTTCTTTCTAAATAAATGTTAAAACACTTAAATGATATGAATTAGTAAATTTTCGCATTGGTTAAAGTAAGCTTTGATGTTTAAAAGTTTATATTTTTTGATGATATGTTACAGTAAATGCTATCAGTCATTTTGTGTGTGCATTAATCCCCTCTCAGTCGTGATGGCACTATATTCTCGACGCTACTGCTTTGTCCGTTAGGTGAACGAACATTCTTATTTTTCTACCGTTTGTACTATCTCGCCCTATTCATTCAATTTTTGTTATCAAATTAGTTGTACAGATGGAAATAGTTATACAGTAAAAGAAGTCATTTGAATGTAATGAAAAACTGTAAAGTTATCGTACTTTTTTATATTTGCAGCCTTTAGTTTAGCTTCCCTGTTAAGCATTCATGTCGGAAAAAAGACAATTTATAGGGAAAATATTATTATTTTCATTGAAGTTAGAAAGTTATCCTACATAAATGTGCTGAAAAATATTAAAAATGTTATTTTAATAATATTTTCCAACATAAAACTCTAAAATTTATAAAAAAATGCAATGAAAAATGTGATATTTCTTGGATTGAATTCTGGAAAAAAATGAAACTGTTACAATGTTAATTCATCAGAAATAATAAATAATTAATAACGATTTACTTAAGTATGAGATTAGGGGTAAACAATTTATTTTAAGTTAGTATTGACATCAGATTCCAAAAGTGAAACAAAAATAAACTATTTGAATGTTTTTTTTATAACTGTTAGGTAAAGTTGTCAATAAGCATTCTAGTCTAATAATTTTACTTTACTTTTCATTTAAAGCTCACAGAGTGCTTTTGATTTTTCTGAGTACCAGTAAGTTATTAGAAAAATGTTAATAATACTGACTCTAGAAAATTTAGTAGAACTTTGAATTTAAATTCAATAACAGAGTTCCCATTACTTAATAAAGTCATCTTTTAAGATAGTCTTTTTTTTTGTTTTTGTAAAAAAATTTGGGGTCTTTTATCAAAAATACTCGAGTTTTATCTTTTATATATCTGCTCTCTCTTACTCCATTTGAAACAATCATAATTACTTAAGCACTTTACAACTTTTAGAGAGAAAAACATTTAATAAATTTATAGTGAAATTACTGGATTAAAAGCAGACGAAATGGCCAATTTATTTTTAAGCAATGACAAAGATATTATCTTTGTGCCGTCATGAGCACTCTCATTCAATCTGTTTCTCGATATAAAAAGCTACGAGCCATGCTTTTAGAAAGTGACGTGAAATATTGGTTGCATTTCGAAACAACCGATTCCAGCTCCTTTGAAGCGTAGCACGCACTTAAAGATAGCCAAATTATCTGCTAATCTAAATGGCCAGACCGTTGAAATGGGACAACTGCTTCGAAAAGGCTTTCGCAGTGAAAAACACGCACAGTTTCAACTAATTCCTTTTCTCTAGAGAGAATATTATTTTCTGATAGGTAAAAAACAAAATGACACATCTTTCCTTGTTTTGTATTAAATTTATATACTGCTCAAATGACATACGACTGAAAAAAGGAGTTATCTTCCCTCTTGATTGCTTTCTTCGTATATGATTTCGGATTTTAGGAGCTTTTAACTTAATTGATGTTCAAAGGGGTATTTTTTGTGTATGGGAACTAATATCTTCAATTTCGAAAAACTTAGAAGTAGTATGTAATTTAGATAGCTTATTTTAATATGCTTGTAGAGAGAGATGAAATGAAATTGTTATTGAGTTGAGTTATACATATGTTTGAAATTTTGGCTGAAATAAAGAAACTTTTAGATAAAAATAAATTTCGAAATGTTTGATTCAAAAATTTGATTTTGATGATAAACAATTCAGTTGTCTAGACAAATCCATTATTGGAAACGCTTCAATTTGAACAAAAAAACAAGAGGCAGAATCTTATAATTATCGTTGAGAATATCCATGGCAAACTCCTTGTATGAAACTTAATCTGAACACAGTTTTATTTATCTTTTTCAATTCCTACTATTAGTTTTACTCTCTCTCTCCCTATATATATATATATATATATATATATATATATATATATATATCTTGTTCAAATATTCAATCGTTAATAAAATACTTTCTATTCATCCATTCAAGTTCAAATACATTTTTTTAAACTTATGTTAATACAGTTTTTTCAAATATCAATTCATTAATTAAATTAAAAATGAATAAATAGTAGCAAACAAAAATAATAGTCCAACAGCATATATATGGAAAGGAAAATTGTTCGTTTTGTCCCTGTAGTGCAATGGATAGCACGCTGGATTTCTAATCCAAAGGTCATGGGTTAGAATCCCATCTAGGATGGCCTAATTTTTGAGAATGTGATTTATTTGTCATTATAGAAATAATTAAATCTAACTAATGAATAAATAAAACCAATCAAACAAAAAAACAGCCCAGCACCTTATATAGAAAGGAAAATGAAAAATTGCAAGGAAAATCGCTTAATTTTGTCACTTAATACTGTAATTCTGTCATATGTATATACATATTTATATTAATTGTAACTATTTAACAAACGGTAACTAAAATAAAAATTTTCTTTGTTGATCTAAGTAGGAATTGACTTAATTTTTTTTATATTACTGTTTAGTGTATAATCTTTATATAGTTTAATTTACCCTCAAATAGTAATCTAAATCATAGTATTTGAATAAAAGTTGTGTTAGATCTAATTTTTGAGATGGAAAGTCACATTAGATTCATATGTTTTTATTGGATTTTTCTTGAAAAAAATCTTTACCCTTTTGCAATTGAATAAAATGACTCACTTTAAAATGAGAAAATGTCACATTGGAATTAATTATAAATAAAAGATTTTAAAAGGTTAAATCATAAAATTTGAATTCTTAATATATTCATATTTGATTTCGCTTATTTAACCATAAAATATATTATAAGAATAATTTATCTACAATTGTAATAAACATATATTTCTTCCAAGTTATTAGAAAGATTAAATGGCATAAATATTACAATATTCGTATAGCAATCTCAGATATTTATAAGTTATGTTTCATTTTAAAAAACTGAATGAATTAGTGGGAAAACTTAAAGCTTCATTAATTTAACTTGATGTGTTTAGTTGATGCTATATAAGAGAAATACATCTAGTTATTCAAAGCACTGACTAAGTGAAGATGATGAGAGAGAGACATCAAATTAGATATTTCATTTTCTTTAATTTCATTACATGTACTTTTTGAGAGCTCCAGTTTTACTTATTATAGTGCAATGCCCCCCCTCCCTCAACTAGCCATAAAATTTCTGCATAATGTTCGTACATTAATACGGCTAGCTAATTTCAAACCCTTCATTTGGAATATTTATCGAAAATTAATTGAATATCAAAAAATATATTTTATATATGATACAAAAAAACTCTTATATATAATTCTTTTAAAATGTAAGAAAAACCAATTTTTTACAAAAAAATAAATAAATTATTCCATTAATGTTTGAGTTTTAAAAAAATTATTGTATCGCTCTTATACGTATTATACAAATATAAGAGGAACACATCATAATTACATCAAATTGTGTGATCTTATATGTAGTATACACCTTGTAAAATGTGTTTCTACATATTTCGTGAATTTAGAGATCATAAAGTGTAAGAGTACCAAATAATCTAGTACCAAATAATCACAGCAATTCCGTAGTAATCAAATTTAGTAATATAAATCCATCAAGCATATTAAAATGAAACATAGAAGCTCAATACTAAGTCTACATTATAGGTTTACATAAATCCTTTGAGTTGAGCTCTAAAATTGGGTGATTAAATTCAAAATCTTTTTTCTGTAAAATTAATAAATAAGTCAGCTTGAAAAAAGTACAAACATTGTTTTAGAGTAGATTGAATTAACGTCACATTTTATCTCGTAATTGTGAGGTACGATCAAGTGACGTAGCTGATATCTTTCATTGGTTCCTTCCACTTCTGTCTTTTACATCACATTAAATAAGGACAGTGATTCCCATTTAAGAAACACTTCTTTACTCGAAACTGTGGATTTTTAAAGAAATAATGAATCGACTAGAATGCACCACTCATGGTGAATTTGTATTTCTAATTACAGTTTCCAGCATTATAATTTTTATTCTGTAAGAATATTTAACATTTTTCAAGTGGTATAGTTTTAATTCTCTCTTATACCAGAATGCTAAAAAAAGATTTTTCCCTTAATACATTAAAAGATTTCTAAAGAAAAGGCAATTAATCTATAATCAGTATGGGATACGTATATTTTTAATGTGATTTAATATTTTTATAGAATTGCAAATAAATAAAAATATGTATGTGTTAAAAATACCAAAATTTAATAACACACTTTATATTCTTCAGATAGGGATATGTTTTTAATTGTTTGAATTACTCTAAAAGTTATGATGAGATGTAATTCTGAAGGACATTATTATTCAATACGGAGCAATAAAAATTCAATACAATATTTTTTTTCAAACTGAAATTAATAAATATATGAATATAATTGTAGATAAAAGAGGTAGTTTTAATGATTTTTTGATTAGATAGTTTGTATTACTCTAAAAGTTATGATGAGATGTAATTCTGAAGGACATTATTATTCAATAAGAAGCAATAAAATTTAATACAATATTTTTTCAAACTGAAATGAATAAATATATGGAGATAATTGTACATAAAAGAGATAGTTTTAATCATTTTTTGACACTATTACATTTTTTGAAACATTAAAGATACGATTTACCTTTCAAACTGATTAAATTTAAGTTCTGAATGTAATTAATTAATTTTTGTAGCATTGTATGATTGCTAATTTACCTGAGAATAAAATAATTTTTTAAAGTAAAAAACGTATTTGAGTAACGAAGTAATCATATTAACGTGAGTTTTAATATCTAATAAATTAAAAACAGAAAAAAAGTTTTTGTTTATTGCATAAAGTTGAATTTGGGATTTTAAAAAAAATTTACCCATAATTCATATACATGCAAATAAATATTTTTATTTTATAATTGGGAGCAATTTACCGTCATTTTCTTTATTTATTTAAGGATATTGACTGTAGAAAAGTTTAGTTTTAAAGATAGTTAGAATCAGTTAAGAAATTTTTTTTTATATTATAAAGAAACTCCTACTTAAACGAATTTCAATTTAAACTTTTAAGCAAATTAAAGTGTTTCTTATGTATGAGAGTAAAAAGATTTGATACATGCAATTTAAGTCTGAAAGCCTCCTTTATTAGAGTAGATATTTTATTTAAGTGTATATTGGAAAACTTTTAGGGGTAGACTTTGAAGAATAAATTATTCAGTTAAAATAGCTTAAATAGTAGTAAAAAGAATTGCAATTTGCAATTTAACGATATAATGTTGAAAACGGATGAAGGAACGGGAAAACTATATAAAATAAATTGCAATCTCACTCTTATGACTTCATTAATTTTTTTCATAGTTTTAGATCTCTTTTTTGATTCATTTCTCCTTTAGAAGGGGGAGAAGGTCCTTCCTCTAAAAATTGCATTTCATTTCCCCATCTCAAAAATGTCATGATCCTTCTGTTAAATATTCAAATAAGCCTGAAAAATATCCCATAATAGATAATTCCTTTCGATACAGACGCATATATACTTCTTGCTGAACTGGTGAGTTAAATGTTCAGACGTATATGTACGTCCTTCTAAATCACAATTCTTTTCTTTGCGCTGCTATCATTAAGAATATTTCGAAGGATTTGAAATGCAATAAAATGACCTTGACAGAGAGAGTTTGCGTAGAATTTACTTATTTCAGAGAAAAACTTGCTTATTTATTCCTTTTCTCTCCCTCCTCGTAATACACCCATACGCTCGCCTATGTGAAAAAAGGTGGCACTGGGGAGCGAATCGCGTAACTTTTACTCAGCAGTCAAGGGGGTCAAGACATTCTTTATCAATTCAGTTGATTGAAAATTGGATTAACTGACATTAAAGCTGACCTTTGTGCTATTAACAAAACTCTCAGCTAGACAACAAGGAAAATTTTTTTTCTTAAATAAGCAAAATAAATTATGTAAAATTAGGAAAATTTGAACATCATTTAATTTTATATCTAAAAAATTTTGTGAATTAAAAGAAAATGTGAGATTTGGAAGGCTTTATTAAAAATTTTAATTCAGTACTAGAATTATTTCTATGGAATTCACCAAATCCTTAAAATAAAGTGTAGATTTACAAATACTTTGCAATACGGATGAAATATATTGCACAATGATATGCACTAATGGAAATTGAACAACTTTTTCTTGAAAATTCTGCTTGCTTAGTTGTTGTAAGCAATTCTTCTGATCTCTTTTGTATTCTTCTATCAGCAAGCAAGAATACACTTTATCAAAGAATTCTCTTTAAAGTTTGTTTTCTAAATTTGGAATTCAAGAGTCACAGCTTAGAAGGAAAGAAATATTTTCAAGGAAGGAAAGGTAAAAAAAAAAAAAAAAAAAATCTTCGGAACGTATAGTTTTTCTTGCCCTACGGCTGCTTAGAAAAGAACAGAGAAGAGTTTCTTCTTTTTATTTTGGATTAAAGAGTGAGTTGTGTGGGCTTCTAAACAGACTTTGCGCATGCCCTGAAGCATTAGTTCGTAACTTGATGGTGACAAAATTCAGTTCGATTGAAACAATTCAAAGAAACACCTATGCTTGCATGCATGCTCGAAAACATTCGTTACACAATTGCTCATTTATTTTTTTAGCTTTTTACTAGAAGATCATAGAAGAGGATGCCGAATACAAAGTTAAAATATGTAAAATTCAAATAATTTTGTTTCTTTTTAAAGAATATTCTTTTAAAAATATCTCACAGGGCAAGATGACAATATGTGGCCTTAAATGATTCCATGTTACTGATGAGTCAAGCTATTTAAAATGGAAATGTTCTTTAAGAAAAACTCAACCATTAATGTCAAAATTACTTTGAACAGCACATTTTCTTTCAGTTTAACAAATGCAAATTACTTTTTTGTTGCTCGGAGAATAAAAGTAGTGTTTTGAAGGCTTTTAAAATATTTTTTTGTTTTACTATGAACCGATTATTTAAAGCAATATAATATAATGTGTTTTCATGTAGAAGTTGCTTTTAATAACAAACATAATACGTTTCAATTTGTTTTATTTATTACAGGAAAGCAATTTCAGCCTTAAGCAGTAGCACACCGCCTGTGAATGCCTTAACACAATTCAGTGCCGAACTAAAATTGTGGAGATAATCTCATATGGCTGAACAGTGGCCTTACAATGGATCCCAAGTTATGTTGGGATCCCCGACAATGAGAGAGCCGACCAA